ATTTTTATTTGTAATTGTTACCAAATAGACACTTGAAAATAAATTATTATCTGACATGATAATAGGCCATTGAAAAGTAGAATTCAAAAACTGATTATTAACAACTGATATATAAGCAGAAGAACTGTTAGGTAAATTTAAACCATTTTTTTCATCTAAAATATTGTACATCTAAATCAATTTTTTTTTCGAATATTTAATTTTTTTAAATTATTATTTATTTCTAAATTAGTTATTATTTATAATAATTATTATTATAATATCATAAAATAACTACTATAGTTATATAAAAAATTGTTATATTTAATTGATTTAATAAAAGCTTTAATATTAACATATATAATATTCAACTTGTCAAATAACAACTATTATTATTTGTTATTTAACTAGTTGAGTAATATATCAATTAAAGCTTTAATCAATCAAATTATTATATATATATATATATATATATATATATATATATATATATATATATATATATATATATATATATATATATATATATATATATATATAATATACATATATATTATATATAGTGAAATTGTGAGTGTTTAATTTTATTCAATTTTAAAATTACTGTTATCTGAAAAATTTTATTATTCTATTAAATTTTATATTATCAAATATATTTAATTATTATTATTATCTATAGAATTTAAATGTAATTGCTGATACAATAAAATATTCATTTTTTTAATTTCAAATCTTTTTTAAATTTTAAACATCTACAGATACTTAAAGTTTTAAATTTGAATTTGATAACTAATTTTGTTTAGCTTTAGTTTAAAGACTTTTACCATAAAAGTTCAAGCTAATTTAAGCTTTTAAAATTTTTATTCAACTTAGCATCTTAACTTTATAAGTTTCATGCTAAGAATATAAATATCAAAAGACAGACCAGAATTAAAAAAATTTATGTTTATGCCAGTATTAAAAATTCAGAGATATAGTGCATGCATTTGAAAGTTCATACCAGCCTAAAATTTAAGAATTAAAATTTTTTTTATTAAAATTTAATTAAAAAAGTTCAGAAAGTTTTTTAAAAAGTTTAAGTTTTAGAAACCATGATTTTTTTAGACTAAACTTCTTTCTGATTAGTTCAATTATTAAATTTGAAAAAAAAAAGATTATAAAGTTAAAAATGATAAAATCAAAAACATTAAATGATTAAAACTGTTATATAATATTAAAAACAATAAAATTTGTAATAATGTGTGATAATCTAGCAAATCATTTTACCGAAACAGTTATAAGCTTTTCACTAAAAAAAAATGTTGCTTTTTTATGCCTTCCTAAAAACTCAGCTCGTATATATGCCAGCCACTAGATGTTGCATTTTACAGACCATTAAAAATTTAATGGAGATCAATATTAGAATGGAAAAAATATAATGAGAAGTCTTTTATAATTACCAAAAACACATTACCATACACTTCTAAACATAGTTTTCTTCTTTGTGGAAAAAACTATGTTTAGAAGTATGTGGACAAAATAAAATAAACGTTTTTCTAAAAATTTAGCTTCTGGGTTTACAAATGTGGTATAATGCCACTTGACAGAAATGCAATTTTTTCTTGTATATCAAATGCACCATTGTTTGGAGATATTGATTTTTTAACAAATGAAAAAGAAAACATCCAGTTCTGTAACTAGTGTGCTTAAGCCTATGAGGTTTAGCGAAAATCTAGAACCAGGTTTTAGACCTAAACACTACAATATTAAACCAGAAAAAAGTTCACATAAGTTTGAAGTAAGAAAAAGTCATTTGAAAATAATAAAAATCATACTAATACCAATAAACCTGTTACTTAAACTTTTGATACTTTTAAACACAAGTGACCTAAAAAAGCCAAACGACAACCAAAATTGAAACAAACAAAAATCATGGCAACACATTGAAATCAAAACATGAAAAAACTTTTTCAACAGACAAATCAGTGCACTAGTAAGCAGATTCTGATTAAGACAGCTTAATTGCTTTGTTTATAAAAATTCTTATATATTAATTCTTATATATAATATAGATTTTTATTCTAACATTCTTATATATATTCTTATGTTACTATACATACTTTACATTCTTATATATATTCTTACATACATTATATCTTACATCATACATACTTTAATAACTTTTTTATAATAAACTTTTGTTACACTGTATAAAATAGCAACAAAATGTGAAAAAAAATTCATTTGGTAATATAAAACATATAAAGTTGTATTTGCAATAATTCTGTTTATTGATGTTTATTTTCAGTATTTCAAGTGTTTATTTCAATTTTCAACATCATTTATTTGAGATTAATTACTATCTAATCAAAATATTTTGAGGTATTATTGATAAATAAAACTTTTGTTAATTTAACTCTTAAATTAGATTTGCTTTAGTCTTTAACAGATTTACTTTGTTTGTACTTTTAGAAAATAGGATAGAAACATTCATTTATAATGTAAAAGCTGTCCAAAGTAACCATGCTTAATGGTACTTAATTGTACATGCTTACAATGTTTAAAAAAAAAAACTTACTAACATTACTTGATTGTAAATGCTTACAAAATTTAAAAAAAAAACTTACTAACAGTACTTAATTGTACATGCTTACAAAATTTAAAAAAAAACTTACCAAAAAGCAATTTTGAGTAAAACTGACACCCCAAATCACATGACCTAGAAGTCTAAAATATTAATCATATGATGAATAATTAATATACACTTTGTGATTCAGTTCACATAAATCTCAATAGTCTACCTAATAGTCATGCCTATTTTTACCATGGATATATAAAAATAGGGAAAATACATCATTATTTTTACCATGGATATATAAAAATAGGGAAAATACATTATTATTTTTACCATGGATATATAAAAATAGGGATAATACATCATAATTCTTACCATGGATATATAAAAATAGGGATAATATATCATTATTTTTACCATGGATATATAAAAATAAGGAAAATCCATCATTTTTTATTACCATGGATATATAAAAATAGAGAAAATACATCATTATTTTTACCATGGATATATAAAAATAGGGAAAATACATCATTATTTATTTCATCATTGAAAATCATTAAAAAAGATTTACTTACGTTGCATGCTGACTGGCAAATTGATAAATTAAATGGCAAAGGTTGGTTGCAAACTGTCAAGCACTAGAAATATAAATTTAATACTGGTTTTTGATTTACTTTGTTGCTCTCTTTTGGAAACTTAAATAGTTACTTATTAATAGCTCACTATACAAAATAAATTAATGAACCAATTACTAGATACTTGAAGTTTAAATTTAAAAATCTTAAATGTGCTTTATTTAAACAAATAAATAACTAATTATACAAACAAATTTTAATTAAAAACATATTTTACTAGTATTTAAATATTATATTTTTAAAAAACATTTTCATACTTTTTAAAATTTTTGATTTAATGTAAAATTTAAAACACAATTATTTCCTAAAATATATAATTTTAAAGTATAATAAACCTTGTTACAAGATATTGTTGAACATGGTAAATCAATTTCATTTTGAGGATTGATTCCCTAAAAAAATAATAAACAAACATAAAAAATCTTGTTAATTATGTAAATAAATAGTATCTTGTATAAAAGTTTTTGTTTCATTAAGTATTAAAATTCTTTTAAGCAAGAAAAGCTAACTAAAATTATAGTGTTACAGAAATCATTTTAGAATGAATTATAATCAAGTAAGATATGTACAAAATTAAAATATGGATGTACAAAATACTTGATTATTTTGTACATCCATATTTTAATTTTGTACATATCTTACTTGATTATAATACCTTTATAACTGAAAAGGTAACATAATGAACATAACATAATCATAATAATAACATAATCATAATATTACCTTTATAACTGAAAAGGTAACATAATGAAATTAGATTACTTCATTATAATGAAATAATCTGTTGTACTTATCTTACTTGATTATAATTCATTCTAAAATGAATGAATTATAATCAAGTAAGATGTAAAAAATAGATTATTTAATATAACTTGATATCAACATAAACTTAATATATTATTAATTTAATATAATTTAATATAAATATAAATTTAATATTAAACATAAATGTTACCTTTTCAGTTATAAAAAAGAAATACTAAATGCCTATGCATGTTTTCTATTGTCATTAGGTAAATTGTACTGATAACAAAAATATCAGACAAAAAAATTTTACAAAAAAAAAAAAGAGTTGTGGTAAGAAAAAAGTACAAAAATGTTTAAAGATATATAACTCTTTAGGTCACATAATTTGCGGATGTTTCAAATGTTGCAGACATCAACTACTGTATTAGAGTAAAGTTTGGTATTGTAGTAAATTATTGTATTCGGTATTATAGCATTGCCATAAGCAGTGCTTAAATAATTTTAACAGGTTCCATTTAAACAGCCAAATAAAGTTACAATACATTGCAATCCTTGACGATTTTCAAAGAATCACTTGTTATTTTTTTCAGACAATAGATAGTATTAATTTTTGTTTTCATGAAAACCTCTGGAATATGATTGTATCTAAATGTACAAACAGGTTAGTTTTAGTATACACATAATTAAACTCAGCAAGGATAATAATAATTATAAAAATCTGCACATTCTACTATACTAAATAAACAAAATAAGTAAATAAGTTCAAATTGTTCAAATATAGTCATTTAATATTTAGGAGGATTCCAGGATCTTCTTGAATAACGAGGGGCTGAATGTTCAATAGAAATTCCATTAGGATTTGTTGGAGAGAGAGTAGAAAAGTTTTGAGATCTTTTCGGATGGAGAGGCTCAGGTGAAGGAATTGTATCAGATTCATTGGAGTTATCTTTGTAGTTATTATTTCCGTCATTATCACTGATTATATCAGCCCTTGGTGCGAGATGTCTTGTAGCAACAGTGGTCTTATGTCCACCAGGCATTCTTACATGAGAATATTTATTATGAGCTTGTAAAAGCTCAATTTCTTTAACCAGAGGTTCATATTTGTTGTGTCAAACATGCCTTTTAAGCAATACAGAACCCAAATTAGTTAACCATGTAGGAACAGAGTGTTCATTAGAAGAACATTAACTGAATCAATATAATCGTTTGTGAGGTGTAGCGTTAGTAGAAGTGCAAAATAAGGAACGCATTGAATGAAGGACATCGAATAAAACATTTTCCCAGTTCATGGTAGGTAACTTCTTTGATTTGAGAGCAAGCAAAATTCCTTTTCAAATTATGCCATTGTATCTTTAACACTGACCATTGCCCTGAGGATTATAAGGAGTAGTTCTATTCAGGTTGACACCTCAACAATTAAGAAAATTGCGGAACTCTTTAAACATGAAGCAAGTGCCTCAATCTGAATGTATATAAGCTAGCATACCAAATAAAGTGAAAAGTTGAGTTAAACATTTAATTACGGTTGAAGTAAAGATATCATGAAAAGGAAATACAAAGGGAAATCTTGAAAACATATCAACAACTGTTAAAAAATATTTGTTGCTAGATGAAGACAGAATAGGTCCTTTAAAATCCATGCTTAGTTGCTCAAAAGGTTGAGTAGATTTTATTAAGGTGTGGTTAAAATTGCTTACATAATATTTAGGTTTTAATTTAGCAACAATTTAACACAAAGAAATGATTTTTTATACATCATCAATTGAAAAAGGCAGATTTTTTGATTTTATAAAATGATAGATTCTGGTGATTCCAGGGTGGCAAAGAGATTCATGTAGTTCCTTAAGAGAGGGTCCGTTTATAGTTATAGAGCAACAAGATCTAGAGAGAGCATCAACAACAAAATTGTTATGTCCAGGGCGATAAACTATATCATAGCTGTACAAAGAAAGTTCTATCCTTCATCTCAGAATTTTGTCATTCTTAATTTTTCCACTCTTGTTGTTATCAAACATGTAAGAGACAGAGCGCTGGTTGGTAACTAGAGTAAAATGCCGACCAACAAGGTTGTGTTTCCATTTTCGAAGTGATTCTACAATAGCATAAGCTTCCTTCTCAACAGAAGAATGTTTTTTTCAGTAGGCAAAAGTTTGCAAGAAAAGAATACAACTGGTCTTCCAGCCTGATTAAGGTAAGCAGCTATGGCAAAATTGGAGGCATCTGTTTCCACCTCAAATGGTATACTTTCATCAATAGCTTGTAGAGCTGATTGATGAAAGTATACCATTTGAGCTGACTATGCGTTCCTGGTAACAACTATTTGTGATCACCAAGGAGAGTTACTGGGTTCAATTATATCTAGTTCCAAAAGGTTTTTTAGTTCCTTGCTCAGTGAATGCTTTGTCCTCTGAGCTATATCGTCTAGAAGGTGAAACAATCAGTCTACATTCTGAAGATAGAAAAGGGAAAAGAGTGCTAGCTTTTATTGTAATTTAGAGAACAGATTTTTAAAGAATCTTTTTTACCACCATAATTGATATAAAGACTTTTGTGCAACTGTAGGAAATCTCTTCCAAGTATAATTTGTTTGCAAGAGTTTGGTATAACCAAAAAGTTAATATAAGAGTACTTCATACCAAATAAAGTGAAACTTTACCTATAACTTGACAAGATAAGGAAAGATCAGCCATAGAGACTCTTTTATTAGATAGAATTATATTAAGTTTTAAAGAGTCACATAATGATTTGCTTATGAAATGTGTCAGAGCTTCCAGAGTCAAGAAGAGCTCTTACCTTGGCCCTAGCAATAAAGATATAAACAATAGAGTTGAGTGAGTAAATAGAAGAGTAAGTAATCGAGGCTAAACTTGGTGTTTAGAAGTTAGCAGCAGAAGGCGTGACAAATTTCTTTGTCAATTTGCATACTTTCTTGAAATATCCTTTCTTACCACAATTGTTTACATTCAGCGTCTCTGGCAGGACATGATTGTCGAGGGTGAAATTTACCACAGAAATAATAAAGTCCACAAGGCTTAGTAGCAACTGAAGCGAGCTCAGTAATACATTCAGAATGTTTATTAATTGTAGCAACATTACTATAATCTGTATGTGAATACATCTCATTATTTCTTTGAGCATTTTCCAATGAACAAGTTTGATTATAGGCCTCAGTAAGTTTAAGAGTAGGGTTTTCTAGTAGTCGTTGGCGAATACGATGAAAGCTTCTTTTCTTCTCTTCTTCTTCTTTCTTTAATTTATCTTCTGTTTGTATAGTTTTCATGAAGTTTGTAAAAGTTCTAAACCAGTGTGACCATTCTTTAGAAGCTGATTCAGAATTGGGATTGCTGTCAAATTATTCCGGTCTTAGATATTTATCCATTAAAATATGAAGAATAAATTGTAGTGTAGTAAATTTAATAGTCTATATTTAATTCTAATCCAACATAGAAGGCTTTATTCTTCATGTAATAATATGTAAACTAAAATATACAAACAGGTTAGTTTTAGTATACACATAATTAAACTCAACAAGGATAATAATAATTATAAGAATCAGCACAGATAGTATTAATCTTTTTTTTCATGAAAACCTCTGGAATATGAATATATCTATGAATATATCTGTGACATCTGGAATATGAATATATCTGGCCTACAAGGTGGTCTAAAAAACAACCAAATTAATTAGAATTGCAGCTTCATTGTTTGCAGCTCCTGTATAGTGTGCAACACCTGCTTTTCTGTTCACTCTGCTATTTTTTTGTTGCATTATCAATATCACGAGTATCAAGCAACTTAGGTGAAGGATATACAAGAGATTAATAATTTTTTTTATTACCAACCTTAAATTTTTTTTGTTTTCAATGAGTTAGACTTAAATTAATCCTTTATTTCTTTATTCATACTAAAGCTTTTTACTTCTCCTGTAAATGAAAAAAACTTGCATCCTGCAGTGGAGTAGACTAAGTGAGAAAATTACATATATACTGTTGAGTTTTAATTCAAATGTTTTTTTCTTTTGTATCAATGATCAACAAATAAATGAACAATTTAAAAAATCAGTTCTTTCTGCTCAATTTTGTTTCCAGATTATATAGACATGTTTATTTTAGACATGTTTATTTTAGTGAGATACAATTAACGCTTATCCAACAATTAAACTTCCGATATTTTGTGTTGGATATAAACTTCCTTAATTTGAGATTATTTAGTATTTAACATCTTTAGATCAATTATCATCACTGGTAAAATACCCTGTTAAAAAAAAATGTTAAAATAGACTGACATGACCTGGTATGACATATTTTCCTTGGTAACTATCTGAAGTTTATTTTTTGGTAGCTTATTGTAATTTTATTGCAGAAAAATCTAGAATACTTGGTAATGAATATGTGGTTTGTAATTAACAACTGAATATTAGTTATTTTTTAAATGTTTAAGCGATTTTATTGCCAATATTTAGGGATTATTGTATTTCTCGTAATTGGAGCAAGAAAACTACACTTATCAAATAATAATTATACATTTTAATTTTTTCAATTAAATAAATTAAACATAACTAATTAAAGTAAACATTAATTTTTAATTGTTTTTATTTTTTATAAATTTTACATTATCAATAAGTATTTTAAATTATTTTTATAGTATTTATTTTTAGATTGCTTTCATGCAAAGTTATCAAATGTCTCTCTCAAAAATAGATTTATAGAGATTAGTGAGAGTCGTTAGCTTTTAATTTAAATACATTTGAAAAAAAAATACATTAAAAAAAAAGAAAGGAAAATGTATAAGTGACATGGTTGACGGACACGGGTTTCGAAGTGAAGGGGCACAATCGTCTATTTCCTAAAAATAGATCTTTAGAATTT